GCGACAAGTAATTCGGAACGGAGGAAGTATGTGCATATCTAATTTGGCAACTAAATTTACTACAGTATCATATATTTACCCCGCCAGCAGATCCTATTCAACCTCACATCCAGAACTGCATGCATATATTTTTGTTGGAAGCTAAGCTTATTGTCATATGTTTTTCTCACTTATATTAAAAAAACATCATTTGTAGGTACGGCGGCAAGGGTGGAAATAAGACGGCACATAATTGGGAAACAAAATTGAGACCATTCGTTGAGCAGTGGAGAACAGCAAGCTTGGTTCACTGGCACGAGGAGGCGCTCTTCGACCGAGCTGCGCATGAGGCTCACCTACGGTGGTACCGGCCACAGATGAGATTGCGCTGCATACCAAGAGCTGACCCTGAGGACATGGAGACGGCTCACACTTCGGCTTCGGAGACGTACTAGAGTTCTTCAGTGACCAGCGTCATAGATCACTCGCTAAGCAATATGGTTACATCATTTATTCAGTTCATATTTCGGAACCATAAGAAGTGACCGATTTCTAACTGTTAGGAAATTTGCAGGCCCAGTTGATGCTGGAGGCTCAAGAGGAGACTGCCGTGATAATTAACCGAGTGACCATGGGGATCGAAATGACTCCGTCCGAGAATCTAGCAGCGTGGCAGCGTACTTAGAGCAAGCTGCGGAGGATCTTCGAGACTTTGAGGCATAGGGTGCATCTGACACCCTGTCTAGTCGCGAAGCACACACTCCCCCATGCCCCTCACACCGTGCTAGGCCGATGTTCCAGCCAACGGTCCGCCTGCTGCCTCCACCTTCCCCTATGCAGTCCGGTGGCTCCTCCTGGTACCACCAGCCTCACCCCCCTCCTGCTCAACTCTCAGTGATGGTGACAACAGGTATATATCAGTGCTAATATACTAATTACTGTTTTAGTGATCGTGATGTTGTAACTATGGTTTTCCTATGAAACCTGCATGACTCATATGCATGCTCTTTGCGGGTTCACCAGATACTCCACCACCGCCGGCCTCACAGGTCACCCTGGCCATGCCACCTCCGGCGCAATCCCATACCCGCAAGAGACATCGCCATCCTACTCGTAGTCGTAGAAGTGCTGCGCAGGGTTGTGGACAGCGAGGACAGGAGGACGAAACAGGTGCTTAGGACGAACAGACGGTTAGTGGTGTCCCACTATGTGATTTGACTTTCTTGACTTCATTATATCCATATATGTAGCACTATTCAACTTTGTGGTAAAAAGCACATATTCCTTTTAATAAAACTATAAAGACACATATTCAACTCTGCAGACATTATAGTAGCATGATGCATCCTTAGGCAGACTCCTTTGAGAAACAATACAATACTTCAAATAAACAGCAGAGCGATTCCTTTCGGATTTTTCTCTGATAAATGGCAAATATTATTACATTACCAGAAGTTCAAGAGAGAAATGAAAAATATCTTCAAAACAATTAACTTTGTTTAAACACACAAGGCATACTGCGGATATGCAGTGCCTTCAGCTCATTCAGTTTGTTCACTCTAGAAAACTTCATCTGCTTTAAATTTCGCCATCCCAAAGGTCCTCCAAGGTTTTGTAAACGCTTAGAGGGTGAACCGCAAATTCCCCTTTCATCAACCTTGCCTGCATTTTTCAAGTCAAACCAGATATCAGATGTGAATAATGAGAGTGTAAGGACTGGAGCTATCCAATGATATATTGCCGAGAAAAGAATGGTCTTGATCTTTGAAGTATTGTCGATTTTCAAGTTATGTTAGATAACAGAAGGAACAAGCGTTAAGACTTCAGACATGCCTGTTTGATTTCGGAGAACTTTGCCATTAAATCTTCAGGAATGGACCACTCAAATATGTCAAAGTTCTCCTTAATCCTTGCTTCATTGGTGCTTTTTGGAAGTACACTCTGACCCATTTGAAGACACCAGCGTAAGGCAACCTGAGCAGGCGTTTTCTGCAACTTCTCAGCAACAGAGATGACAATAGGATTGCTAAGGACGATAGCCCCACTGACCCCAGGTAGAGATGATCCAGGCGAACCTAATGGCGAAAATGCCTGCAAGTGACAGTTTATTTCAACACATGGAAGCGGCGCAGTACCGATTATCAACAAACCAAGATAGCAGCTTACAAAACTGAAAGAAATGCTACAGCATTAGACATATCAAGCTTACAGAAAGATGAACACCCCTCGAATGGCATAGTTTTTGGAGCTTGTCTTGCTGCCAAATCAGATGACATTCAACCTGGTTGACTGCTGGAGGCACACGTGCAATGGCAAGCAAATCCTCAATCTTCTTGCAAGAGAAGCTACTCACACCAATTGCTCGAGCTTTGCCAGAGTCGTATAGCTTCTCCATCGCTTCCCATGTAGCAGGAATATCAGGTGGGAGAATGTTTTCATGGCTCGGCGTAGTCCCTTTCTTTATACGGATTGGAGCATGAATCTGCAAAATAAGGTCATTTCAACAACCAAACGAGGTAATAAGTGGTGTGCAGTTAAAGCAGTTATGTTGTGCACAGTTATTAATGTACTCAGTTTAACACATTTGTATCTACAATTTTCTTTCATATATTCGCAAAAACAGATCAGTCTTGACTATATAATTTAGTGTCAGTTATTATCGTGAAAATCGAACTGTCTTCTCACATTTTTATTTTATTTTGCAATTAGAACTGTCTATGTAAGAGCTATGACTGCACAAATTAGAACCCCAATATGATAATCCTAGTGTGTTTTCCATTTTTGCTGTGCAACTAACACCTAACGACCATCCCTAAAAAAATACCGAAGGACCGTACACAAACATAATTAGCCCTGGACAAGAATATTGCCAAGCCATGCAGAGGTAATAAGAATTTGGATCAAGAAGAGGTTTTTGCTCCTTACCTTCTGGTATTCAATTAGCTATTGGTATATCTTAGTACATAAGTGTGAAAAGGAATAACTGAATGTACTATCAAGCATAGGAATTTACGAGGAACAGATCTAAGAAGTCAAGCTGCAAATCTTTAAGAGTAGTGTCAATTGCCTCTGGAACATCTTCAGGTGCATGATCACCAGACCTGCAAAATTAAGAATATTCCTGACAGGATGGAAATTATTTCACATGTTCCCTTAATTGAGGTTGGGGAATGAATCCTAACCATAGCTTAGAGGTGATAAACAAATCTTCACGCTTAACCACACCATCCTCAAATAGTTTCTTCAAAGCGAAACCAACCTACACAAATAGTATTTCATATTAGTAGAAATGTTTCCAAACCAAAATAATAATATTGAAACACTAGAAGGCTTCTTGGAATGTGTACTTGCTACTTCCAGTTTCATTGATCTACTTGCACACACCCCTAAAAAAAATACTACCTTGCACACCCTTTTTGTCATCGCATTGTTGTGTATGATTCTAAATTTCAGAGCTGAAGTATTTCCTTCTCACTTATCAATTATCATCAATACATTTCCGCAATATTGTTTTGAGAAAAAAAATATGCATTGAATTTTGGCATAATAACTGTATGCACATAATATATCAAAATTAAAAAACATACACCGACATTGTTTTGCGGAGCACTCCAATTTAAGTATTTAACCTGTTATTACACAAAAAAGAAAAGAAAAAAGGTTGCAGCATGCGCATTGAGCTATTGAAGGGACAAACATGTGATGTAACGGTCACGCTATGGTGCATGTAATTACTAATACCTGTTTCTCGTTGCGGTACACTGGAGCACAATCAATATGCCGATATCCAGCCTGCCGGAAAAGCATGGAACTTTTAGAAGGGAAAAAATAAGGGATAGAGATTGATATATATCTCAGGGCTCCGGAGCAGAAGCATGTGGAAAATTCAAAAGTCAACTTGAGGTAACTGAATGAACAGAGATTTCTACACAGGTCGCCAATTTTATCCACCATTAAAAGATCACCCTAATGGAGCTAACTTGATCCACAATTAAAACCTCATCCTAATGGATTCTACAGGCCCCAGGTAACACAAAGCTGAACCTAGCTTGATGGGGTGAGCACTTAATATCCAAGACCATCAAGAAGGGATTAAAGCGACAGGAAAAGACCTTGACAGCAGCGTAGATGGCGTCGCCGACAACATCAGGCTCTATCTGCCATGTGCCGAGGCCGACCGATGGCATCCTTGCGCCGGTGTTGAGGACGAAGGACCCGGCCATCTTTGCTCTTTGGGGCAAGATAGACGAGAGAGAGACTGTCAAAGAAGATGGGTACGGTGGGCTTGGGGTTGCTGCTGGGGTTATCTATTCGCTTTGCAATAAACTAGACATATCAATGTAACAGAGTGATCGACACACACATAATGTATGTCATCAGTGACAGGACTGTAAAGAGCTGATTGGACTGAGTACACTTTTCTAGAAGATGGGTCCTCTTCGCTGTTGTGGACAAGAATTTGACCAAAAGTGGATCGGTGCGGAACAAACGGTCATTAGCCAAATTAGGGACTGCAGCATATAGGCACAACTACGTACATCACAGGAATTTGATGGATGTAGCACGGCACAACACGGGGAGCAGCATCAACTCCTTGTGAAGGAACGGAAACTTTGTGCAGAATCTCTGCAGAATGATTTAACGGCGTTATCTGAAATGGACACGCCTCTTTTGGTTGTGCTTAGGACAGACAGACGGTTAGCACTATTCAACTTTGTGATAAAAAAGCACACCATACTTGTCTAGAAAGAATAACTAAAGGCACACACACACTATAGTAGCATGACAAAACCGAAATCAGATTTCTTTGAGAAATAGCACAAGACTTCAAATGAACAGCAGATCGGTTCCTTTCGGAAACTTCTCAGATCAGTGGCACAGATTATTAGTTTATCAGATGTTTTCAAGAAAGAAATGAAAAATATCTGTAAAGTAGTAACTAATTAACTTCATTCAACACACATGGCATACTGCATATATGCAGTGCCTTTCACTTGCTCATTCATTCACTCTCGAGAAGTTCATGTGCTTTGAATTTCTCCATCCCAAAGATCCTCCAAGGTTTTGTAAACGCTTAGAGGGTGGACTGCGAATTCTGCTTTCAGCAACCTTTCCTGCATTTTTCAGATCAAACCAGATGTCAGATGTGAAGAATGAAAGGGTAAGCACTCTGATGCTATCGAATGCTATATTGCCGGAAAAATAATGGTCTTGATCTCTGAAGGATTGCCTATTTCCATGTCCATATCGAGTTAGATAGCAGAAGTAACAAAAATGGACGAGAAGTCAATGCCATGAGACATGGGAAGAAACATGTGTTGAGGCTTCAAACATGCCTGTTTGATTTCGGAGAACTTGGCCATCAAATCTTCGGGAATGGACCAATCAAATATGTCATAGTTCTCCTTAATCATTGCTTCATCGATGCTTTTTGGAAGTACACTCTGGCCCATTTGAAGACCCCAGCGTAAGGTGACCTGTGCAGGCGTTTTCTGCAACTTCTCGGCAACAGAGATGACAATAGGATTGCTAAGGACACTAGTCCCACTGACCACAGATAGAGGTGATCCAGGCGAACCTAATGGTGAATATGCCTGCAACAACACAAGTGGCAGGTTATGACAGCATATGGGAGTAGCAGTACAGATTGTCAAAAAACCGAGTGTAGGGGCAGCTTTACAAGACTGAAAGAAATGCTACAGCATTAGAGATGACATATCAAAGCTTACAGAAAGATGAACACCCCTCGACTGGCATAGTTTGCGGAGCTTGTCTTGCTGCCAAATCGGATGACACTCAACCTGGTTGACCGCTGGAGGCACGCGTGCGACGGCAAGCAAGTCCTCCATCTTCTTGCAAGCAAAGTTACTCACACCAATTGCTCGAGCTTTGCCAGAGTCATATAGCTTCTCCATCGCTCCCCATGTAGCAGTGATATCCGGTGGAAGCAAATTTTCAGGGCTCAGTGTAGTTCCTTTTTTGATGCGGACTGGACCATGAATCTGTAAAGTAAGGTAATTTCAACAACCAAATCAGATAATAGGTAGCGTACACTAAAGGGACAGTTTTGTTGTGCTCACTGTTAAAAAAAAGTCAGCTATTAGTATAGAATGGGGACTGCTGCCAATTTATGCAAGAACTATGGCATAGATATCCAATCTGGTAATTCTAGTATGATTTCTTCTTTTGGATTGCAACTAATATGTAGTGACTATAGGCTAGCACTGTATAAGAATAGGGCCAAGCCATCGGAAAATAATTGGGAACTCATGATATTGTTTGCTCCTTCCATTTCAATGTTCAGTTAATTATAGGCACATCTACATATATACCAGTTAATTAAACGGATAATTGAGTTTAATACCAAGGATAGGAATTTACAAGGAACAAATCTAAGAAGCCAAGGTGCAAATCTTTAAGAGTAGTGTCAATTGCCTCCGGCACATCTTCAGGTGCATGATCACCAAACCTGGATAATTCAGAGGCAAGACGGGAATTATTTCACATGTTCCTTTAACCGAGGCTGGGAAATGAAGCCTAACCATAGCTTAGAGGTGACAAACAAGTCTTCACGCTCAATCACACCATCCTCAAACAATTTCTTTAAAGCCAAGCCAACCTACACAAGTAATTAATACTTCGATTTAGTTAGAAATATTTCCAAATCAAAATAATAACATTTGAACTCTAGAAGGCTTCTTGAAATGTGTGCTTGTTATTTCCACTTTCATTGATACTCCCTCCGGTCCTTTTTAGTCCGCATATAATTTTGTCCAAAGTCAAAGTATGTCTATTTTGACCAAATTTATAAAAATACGTATCAACATTCACAATGCCAAATCAACATTGCTAGATTCATTATGAAATGTAGTTTCATAGTATATATATTTGGTATTGTAGATGTTGATATTTTTTAATATAAATTTGGTCAAACTTTGTAAAGTTTGACTTGACGCAAATCTAATACGCGGAGTAAAAAGGACCGGAGGGAGCATATACTACTTTGCACACCCTTTTTGCCATCTCATTGTTTGTCCCTGCATCTAAATTTCAGAGCTGAAGTATTTCCTTCTCACTTGTCCCTTTTAAAAGCATGCTCTTCATGTCGTAGAATTCAAATATTTAGACCAACATGATATTCATGTGGGATTAAACAATCATGGACTAGTGAAACATACACGAACTATTGTTCTGCTGACTAATCAGTCCAAATGAAGTATTTAACCCGTTACAAAAAAAAGAAAAGAAGAAACGGGTTGCAGCATGCACATTGAGCTATTGAAGGGACATACATGCGACCGAATACTGTGGTGCAAGTATAATTACTAATACCTGTTTTTGTTGTTGTTGAGAGAACTAATTAATATACCTGTTTCTGATTGTGGTATGCTGGAGCACAATCGATATGCCGATATCCAGCCTGCCAGAAAAGCATGAAGCTTTCAGAAAGGAAAACAAGGGAAATATATCTGATATTATCTCAGAACTTCATAACACAAGCACGTGTTTGTTGAAGTGAGCAGGTAATACCCAAAGATTCACAAAACCATCAAGGATGATTAAAGCGACAGGAAATGACCTTGACAGCAGCGTAGATGGCGTCGCCGACAACATCAGGCTCTATCTGCCATGTGCCGAGGCCGATCGGTGGGATCCTTGCGCCGGTGTTCAGGATGAAGGACCGGCCATCTTTGGAGCAAGGCAGGAGAGGAAGACTATGGAAGATGATGGGTACGGTGGGCCTGGGTTTGGTTGTGGGGGTATACCTATTCGTTCTACAGCAACTACACATATATTGTATGCGACCCAGTGACCTGCTCACACTCCATTATCAGTGATAGTATATATAAGATTATAAAGGGTGACTGACCGACCGACCGACGGATGATTTTGTTTCCCTCTATTTGTTTTTTCCATTCACTGAAGCGTAGGGAGGGAGGGAGAACGTGAGTTGACTTGCCACGTTTGACCTGTCAATGTAAATAAAATGCAGAGCTATACGGGGAGCCAGTGGCCATATAATCACCAAATATCGTATTTATTGACAGCATTCTTTAGTACAATTACCAAAATAAAACCTGCTGAGACAAGTACAGTGATCACCAGTACATTTTACTTCATATTCACGATCAATTTTGAAAAGTTATATGATAGAGCTAAGTCGCCTTTTTGTTTAACAAGCGCTCATAATGAAGGGTTTCTCTCCTAATGGTAAGGGGTAGTGTAGCCATCAAGGTCAATGATGACATTGATTACTACTTCTAGACAAAGAAGGGCCTCCGACAGGGGGGCATTTTGCGTAATACTGTGGCGGATATTCTTGCAATCCTTGCTGAGCGTGCCAAGTCAAGGAATTAACTTTATTTAACACACAACCCTATCAAAAAAAAAACTTTATTTAACACACAAGGCATACTGCGGACATGCAGTGCCTTCACTACCTTCTTCAGTTTGTTCACTACAGAAGAAGTTCATGTCCTTTAAATTTCGCCATCCCAAAGGTCCTCCAAGGTTTTGTAAACGCTTAGAGGGTGAACTGCGAATTCTGCTTTCAGCAACCTTTCCTGCATTTTTTGCAGATCAAACCAGATATCAGATGCGAAGAATGAAAGGGCAAGCACTTTGAGCTATCGAATGATATATTGCCGATTCCATGTGCATATGGTTAGATAGTGGAAGTAACAAACATGGACGACAAGTCAATGACATGCGACATCGGAAGAAACATGTGTTGAGACTTGAGACATGCCTGCTTGATACCGGAGAGCTCCGCCATCAAATCTTTGGGAATGGACCAATCAAATATGTCAAAGTTCTCCTTAATCCTTGCTTCATTGGTGCTTTTTGGAAGTATACTCTGACCCATTTGAAGACCCCAGCGCAAGGCAACCTGCGCAGGCGTTTTCTGCAACTTCTCGGCGACAGAGATGACAATAGGGTTGCTAAGGACACTAATGATCCCAGGTAGAGGTGATCCAGGTGAACCTAATGGCGAAAATGCCTGCAACAACACCAGTGGCAGTTTTTCACAACATATGGGAGTGGTGCAGTACCGATTATCAGCAAACGGAGGTAGCAGAAGCTTACGAAACTGAAAGAAAATGCTACAGCACTGGAGATGACTTATCGAACTTACAGAAAGATGAACGCCCCTCGAATGGCATAGTTTACGGAGCTTGTCTTGCTGCCAAATCAGATGACACTCAACCTGGTTGACTGCTGGAGGCACGCGTGCGACGGCAAGCAAATCCTCCATCTTCTTGCTAGAAAAGTTACTCACACCAATTGCTCGAGCTTTGCCAGAGTCGTATAGCTTCTCCATCGCTCCCCATGTAGCAGGAATATCAGGTGGGAGAAAGGTTTCAAGGCTCGGCGTTGTTCCTTTCTTGATGCGGATTGGACCGTGAATCTGTAAATAAGGTCATTTCTGTTAGAAATTTAGGGTTTGCGGTCTACCCCCTATTCCTCTGCGCTTATCCGTGGTGCCGCTCACAATTCGCATATCTGAGGCTAGGGGGTAGGGACCTTCTTATACTGCCTTTCCAAAGAGTCCATCTCTTATACAAATAAGATTCCTAGTCTTTCCAACTAGTTTTCCGGATAGAGTCCAGATCAAATTACCAACCACGATCAAATTTGTCTGTTAACGGATTCTACCCGTTGTGTCCCTGGAGCACGCGCTTGTGAGCAACGCGCCATAACAGTGTAAATTCCTCTAATTACGTAGATCAACATTAGGGCTGTAATCTAACTGTACGATCTAGCTCCTTCCACAGTGTATCCGGGTAGTCTTTCCAATATAAATAGTATATTGTATTCCACTGATAATCGACCAGCTTCCTTAAGCATATATTGCTTAAGTACATTCCAACAAGTAACAACTCCATGCTAAACATGTAAAGCAATTCCATGTATAAATACATGTATAATTCCATACGAGGTATTCCGAATATTAACAATTCTAAGTAATTTGAATATAGTTGCAGGACACATAATTCCAACAATTTCAACAACCAGACGAGGTAATAGGTTGCGTGCAATTAAAGCAGTTCTATTGTGCACAGTTGTTCATCTACTCAGTTCAGCAGAGCTGTATTTGCAGGTTTCTTTCATATATTCTCAAATACAGAACAACCTTGAAAATATGTTTAGTGTCAGTTATTATAATGAAATTATAATTATCACCAATTTATACAGGACAAAGAAATTCTATATGATAATCCTAGTGTGTTTTCCATTTTTGTTCTGCAACTAATACCAAATGACCATCCCTAAAAAATACCTAATGAACATCCCTATGAAAATACCTAAGGACCATACACAAACATAATTATCTCTGGACAAGAATATTGCCAGCCCATGTAGAAATAGTATCAAGAAGAGGTTTTTGCTCCTTACCTTTTGGTATTCAGTTAGTTATAGGTATATCTCAGTACATAACTGTAAACAAACGAATAACTGAATATACTACCAAGCATAGAAATTTACGAGGAATAAGTCTAAGAAGTCAAGCTGCAAATCCTTAAGAGTAGTGCCAATTGCCTCTGGCACATCTTCAGGTGCATGATCACCAGACCTGCAAAATTAAGAATATTCTGACAAGATGGAAATTATTTCACATGTTCTCCTAACTGAAGCTGGGAAATGAATCCTAACCATAGCTTAGATGTGATAAACAAATCTTCACGCCTAACCACACCGTCCTCAAATAATTTCTTCAAAGCCAAGCCAACCTACACAGGCAATACTTCATATTAGTAGAAATATTCCCAAATCAAAATAATACTATTGCAACTCCAGGAGGCTTCTTGATATGTGTACATGTTTTTCAGTTTCATTGATCTACTACCTTGCACACCCCTTTTGCCATCTCATGTTTGTGTCTGATTCTAAATTTCAAAACTGCACTGAAGTGTTTCCTTCTCACTTATCAGTTATCATCAACATATTTTCCCAGTATTGTTTTGAGAAAAAAAATATGCGTTGAATTTCGGCACAGAAACTATATGCACATAATATATCAAAATTAAATGCTTTTTATATCATAAAATTCACATTTAGACCAATGTAATATTCATGTGGGATCAACCAATCATGGACTAGTTAAACACACACTAGTATTGTTTTGCTGAGAGTACTAATCAGTCCAATTCAAGTATTTAACGCGTTACTCGAAAAAGAAAAGAAAAATATTGCAAGTAATCACTAATACCTGTTTCTCATTGCGGTACACTGGAGCACAATCAATATGCCGATATCCAGCCTGCCGGAAAAGCATGGAACTTTTAGAAGGGAAAATAAGGGAAAGAATTATATCTCAGGGCTTCAGAACACATGCGTGCGCAAAATTCAGAAGTTAAGTTGAGTTCACCGAATGAACACAGATTTCCACTTAGGATACAATTCGATCCACAGTTAAAACTCATCCTAAGGATTCTATAGGCCCTACCCTACCTTGATGAAATGAGCAGGTAATTCGAGCTCACCTCCACATGCAGATATATCTTGGATTCACAAAACCATCAAGAAGGAATTAAAGGGACAGGAAAAGACCTTGACAGCGGCGTAGATGGCGTCGCCGACAACATCAGGCTCTATCTGCCATGTGCCGAGGCCAATCAATGGGATCCTTGCGCCAGTGTTCAGGACGAAGGACCCGGCCATGTTTGGAGCAAGAGGCTAGAAGAGAAAGACTATGGAAGAAGGGTACGGTGGGCTTGGGGTTGGTGGTGGGTGTATATCTATTCATTCTGCAGCAATTACACCTAATGTAGGCCATCTTTGGAGCAAGGTAGAGGAGAAAGACTATCAAAGAAGATGGGTACGGTGGGCTTGGGGTTGCTAGTGGAGGTATCTATTTGTTCTGCGGCAACTACACATAATGTATGAGACAGAGTGACCGACACACTCCACTATCACTTTATCAGTGATATAAGATTGTTAAAGAGCTAGACTTTTCTAGAAGATGGGCCCTCTTTGCTGTTGTGGACAAGAATGTGACCAAAAGTTTATCTGTGCAGAACAGATGAGGCGCAGGGGGGTAGCAAGGAAAACAAAGGAGGTGGAGAGACTGAGGCACGGAATTCCTCGGCGAGAAAAACGATCGTTGATTACGTTGCCGTTGTTTTTCAATGAACAAAACTAGGGCGCGTAAGTTTTTAGAAATGAGAAACTAAAGGCGCACATCATATATAGTAGTACTTGGTACATACACTCCAGGTGAACTTCAGAGCGGTTCTTTTCGGGGGGTTTTATCTGAACCCTACATTATCAGGTGTTCAAGAAATAAAGGAAAATTATCTCCATGACAATTAACTTTATTTAGTAAGCATGGAGTGTCTTTGGCTGGCTCATTCGGTTTGTTCGCTCCGGAGAAGTTCACAAGCTTCAGATTTCACCATCCCAAAAGTCCTCCAATGTTTTGTAACCGCTCAGAGGGTGAACTGCAAACTCCGCCTTCACCAACCTTACCTGCATTTTTTTCCAAATCAAACAAAATGTCGAATGAGTTTCTCCAGTGATATGGGAGTATATCTCTGAGAAAAGAATGGTCTGGTCTTTGGAGGATTCTCCATTGCCATGTGCATATCGTTACACTACAAGATTCAGGACTTTGGGAGAACCATGTGCTGAGACTTGAGACATGCCTGTTTGATGTCGGAGAATTTTGCCATCAGATCTTCAGGAATGGACCAATCAAATATGTCAAAGTTCTCCTTGATCCTTCCTTCGTTGCCGCTTCTTGGTAGTACACTCTGACCCATCTGAAGACCCCAGCGTAACGCGACCTGCGCAGGCGTTTTCTGCAGCTTCTCGGCAACAGCCACGACAATAGTGTTGCTAAGGACACTAGCCTCACCTAATGGTGAATGTGCCTGCAACAAAACAAGTGGCAGTTTATGACAAGAAATATTTGCATTGCTGCTTATTAGCAAGCTAAGGTAGTAGCTTACTGAAACTGAAAGAATGCTAGTATAATATATGTAATGAGCTTACAGAAAGATGAACACCCCTTGACTGGCATAGTTCACGGAGCTTGTCTTGCTGCCAGATCAGGTGGCACTCAACCTGGTTGACTGCTGGAGGCACGCGTGCAAAGGCGAGCAAGTCCTCCATCTTCTTGCAAGTAAAGTTACTCACACCGATTGCTCGAGCTTTGCCAGAATCGTATAGCTTCTCCATCGCTCCCCATGTAGCAGGGATGTCAGTTGGGATCAAATTTTCAGGGCTGTGCGTGGTTCCTTTCTTGATACGGATTGGACCATGGATCTGTAATATAAGGTCATTTCAACAACCAAATAGACACATGTCAGTATAAAGCGGTTAAATGTACATACAAATAACTGACTGTACTATGAAGCATGGGAATTTACGAGGAACAAATCTAGGTAGTCAAGCTGCAAATCTTTCAGAGTAGTGTCAATTGCCTCTGGCACATCTTCCGGTGCATGATTACCGGACCTGCAAAATTAAGAACATTCCTGACAAGACAGAAATTGTTTCACCTGTTGCTTTAACTGAGGCTGGGAAATGAAAACTAACCATAGCTTAGAGGTGATAAACAATTCTTCACGCTTAACCACACCATCCTCAAATAATTTCTTCAAAGCCAAGCCGACCTACGAAAGGTCATTCGGTTTAGTGACCTACAAAATGATAATATCGCAAAACTAGAAAACTTCCTCAAGTGTTTTCTTGTTTTCCAGTTTCATTGATGTACTGTGTGTCAGCAGACACAGGACACGGACACACCCTTTTTGCCATCTTATTGCTGGTGCCTGATTCTATGTTTCAGAACTCAAGTATTTCCTTCTCATATGAAGGTATATTTCCTTCAAAATTACTATTAGAAAAATGTGCACTAAATTTCAGCACAAAAACTACAGACCTATCAGATATGCGTATAACGTACCGAAATTAAAAGGATATGCTTTCCGTATGATAAAATCCAAAGAGAGAAGTGCATATTTCAACCCTCAACTTTTGCCCTAGTCTAATTTACAAACCCGAACTCTAATACCATCTAAATTACAACCCCCAACTCTCAAAACCGGTCAGGATTCAACCCTCCCCTCTCTGTTGACCGGTTTTGACCAGTCAACAGGTCCAGTCAGCATGCCACATCAGCAAAAAAAATGCAAAATTTCCAAGGAAACAACCTGTAAAATCGAAGAAAATCCAGGAAAAGAAATAAGAAATCCAATTTCCGAAAAACACGGAAAATAAAAAAAAACGAATTTCCAAAAAAATCCAGAAACTCAAATTCCAGAAAAAAAATCATTTTTTATTTTCCCTAGCTTTTTTCGGAATTTTGCCTTTTTATATTTTTCCCTAATCTTATAGATTTTTATTTACTTTTTCTTGAAATTTTGAAAAAAAAATCTGACGTGGCATGCTGATTGGACTCGTTGACTAGTCAAAACTGGTCACCCCAGGTCAAAACCGGTCAACAGGGTGGGGAGGGTTGAATCCTGGCCGATTTTGAGACTTGGGGGTTGTAATTTAGACGGTATTAAAGTTCAGGGTTGTAAATTAGACTAGGGCAAGAGTTCAGGGTTGAAATATGCACTTCTCTCAAATCCAAACATCTAGAATGATACAATATTGTGGGATCACACATTCATCGACATGACACTTAGGGTGTGTCTGATTGGTATACTAAGTCTCCACACTTTACCACTCTCCAAGTTAGGCAAGTTTGACTGAGTTAGGCCCCGGTTTGGTTTGCAGCCACACTTAGGGCAAGATTCCTTTCATGCAAACTAGACCCCACATGTCAGAAAAGTATTTTTTTTTTCGAAAAGGAGGGTTACTCCCGGCCTCTGCAACATGTCAGAAAAGTGTGGCAAACTGTGGTGCCAATTTTGTGGCAAAAAGTGTGGCAAATGGTGGCAAACTTAGTATATGAACCATCCCTAAGAAAAACTTAGTATATGAACCAAACATGCGCTTAAGCATACGCCGACCATTTTGTCATAAGAGTATTGATCAGAGAGGCAGAAGCAAGCCACATTTTCGGGACAAACATGGGAGGAAAAGCTATATATGGTGCAAGTAATTACAAGTACCTCTTTCTCATTGCTGTATGCTGGAGCACAATCAATATGCCGATATCCAGCCTGCCAGAAAAAAACATGAAACTCATAAAAGGGATGTAGTTTGATAGCATATCTGAACTGAGCGCGGTAAAGCAACAACCCATACAGGTATACATGTCCAAGATTCAGAAAACCATGAGGAAGGAATCAAGGCAGAGCTAGAGCAAGGAGAAAAGACCTTGACAGCGGCGTAGATGGTGTCGCCGACAACCTCAGGTTTTATCTGCCATGTCCCAAGGCCAACCGATGGGATCCCTGCGCCTGTGTTCAGGACGAATGATCCAGCCATTTTTGGTCAAGAAAACTCAGCTAGGACTGGAGTAATATAAACTAGCAGGGAGTGAGACTACCAATTCAAGCACGTAAGGATGGTGGGTGGAAGGTTCAGCGGGGTTGGGGGTAGGGTTTGGGCAATAATTTATACATAATGAACGACACGTACTTACTGTTAGTGAATGGGAGCATGGCAGCTGCGATTTCTAGAAGATGTGTCATCTGTTCCTGCTGTGAAGTGAACAGACAAAGCTGTGGCAGGATTATTTTGCACAACGTAGGCATCACTTGCACAGTGTCTCGACCTATTCAGGCTGCAAGAAATGGTTCATCTTCGAGCACGTCGTGCCTTCTTTTTGCTAGATGAATAGAAGGCTCTCCTGAAAAAAGAAAAGAGCTGGCTTAGAGCTCCCCTCTTGACTTGCTTGGCCAGTTGGCCTCTTTGATGTAAGTAGAGTTGCTGGATCCATGTGGCCGGACCCCGGAGAGCCCGCTTCTCCGGGACGTCGGCGCTGCCGTGCTCACCGTAGGCGCCGGCATGATGGTGCTCGGCTTCTGGGAGGAGGTCCGCAACGGCGGACCGAGTAATCTCTGCTCACCATCTAAATAATACGCACGCTTTTCTTGTTTTTTGTTTTTTTCTCTTTCGGATTGATGATTGTTTTGATTTGCGCGGAAAAAATCCGGAGGAAATTCTATAGATCAACAAGAAAATTTATTTATTTGAACTTTATCATGCAAATTATTAATGAGAAGTTGGTTGGTATCTCGCAATCTGCCTGTCTTTTGCTCTGCATTTTCAGAAACTCTGCAGGAAGCTGGTGCACATAAGTGACGGGCAGGTATATTTCCTTATGTGGCCTTTGTTCAGGACGATGGCGTGGTTAATTCAATGACAAGACATGGAGACTATAGGTAAGCCTCTCTTTTTCCCCATCTTTGGTAACTTCTTAATTAATAATTAGTCTAACAATGAGCTGACTACATCTTCATCTTTTCACCATCATCTCTAGAGAGCTTCTCAAAGGTCCACAGTATTACGCCGGGCTTTAGATTTCGCTGCTGTAATCTTTTGGAGGACTTCTCCCGTTTCCATCGCCGTGATTTGCAATTTGTGCGCGGGTGATGGTACCAAGTTCTTTCTCATGCAGTTAAATTTTTGTCCGGTGCTACATTCTCCTTAATTTGATTGTTCAAGGGAAGGTTTCAGAAAACAGCATAACTATGTATGCTACTTCTTTTAGGTGTGGCTGACATAGCCGGGAGGCGATTCGGCTGCGCGAAGCTCCCTTACAATACCGACAAATCCTACACCGGAACCACCGCAATGTTCTTCGCCGGCTTCGTGTCATCGGTCCTGTAAGCAAAAGAGCAATGAAGTCCCAGGTCATCTTTTGTTTTGTTGTCTGTAACTGTATGACTGAAACTAGAACTGGATGTGGTGTACCTGCAGCTTCATGTGCTACTTCGACCTTTTCGGGTTCGTCGAGCAGAGCTGGACCATGGCCGTTGGCTTCGGCATCACGTCGCTTGCCGCGGCGACCGTCGAGTCACTCCCCGTCAGCACGCGCTTGGACGATAACCTGACGGTTCCGCTCGCCTCTACGCTCGTCGGCGGCCTGGTTTTCTACTATGTTTGTGGTGGTGGTGGTGCCGGAAGCGACGACTGGAGCACCATCTCGGCAAGTGCTGCGGTGGCCTTTGCAGGCAGTATCTAGCACAGTGAGGGGACATTGCAGTAAATTAGAAGGCCTTGTTGGTGGTGACACTGCAATGAACTGTTCTATCTGCTTTTTTTCACAATGACTTTGGATTGACTAATGCATCAAAACAAAAATGACAGAGCAGGACAAAGCTATTTGTATTTTACAACTTCCAGGGAGGATTCTGAACTCAAATCACTCATGCAAATTGCTCTACATACCAGCAGCAGCGAAGCTCGAGCTCCTTCGACTGCTGATTATTACTACCGCATTATTCTGTTGCCATGGCAGCACTTGGCAGCCTCCGCTCAAGGAACAGTGACTGTTCTGTTCAGACTATATTTCACCATCCCAGATCTCTTCTTCGGATTTGAACAGGCCTTCCGGGTGAGTCCAGAATTTCCCGCGGATCAGCCTTGTTTGTTCGATTTCAGAGAAGCCGGCGAACAGGTCGCTCGGAATGGACCAGTCGAAGACGTCGAAGTTGGCCTTGATCCTCTCCTCGTGGGTGCTCTTGGGCAGCACGCTGTGCCCCGACTGGATCCCCCACCGCAGCGCCACCTGCGCCGGCGTCTTCCCCAGCTTCTCCGCCGTCGACACCACCACCGGGTGCTCCAGCACGGTGAATGCTTTGAACGTCCCCGGCGAGCCCAGCGGCGAGTAGGCCTGCATACGCATGAACTGTTGAACACACCGGGAAGCTACAGTAACAATGGCGTGTTTCTATACGAGAGACATTAACGTACGGAGAAGTGTATCCCTTTGGACGCGCAGAGGTCCCGGAGCTTGGCCTGCTGCCAGACGGGGTGGCACTCCACCTGGTTGGCCGCCGGCGGCACGCGCGCGACGGCGAGCAGATCCTCCAGCTTCTTGCACGAGAAGTTGCTGACCCCGATGGCGCGGGCCTTGCCGGAGTCGTAGACGCCCTCCATCGCCGCCCACGTCGCCGGTATGTCGGCCGGGATCACGTTCTCCGGGCTGAAGCCGGCGCCCTTCTTCATCCGGATCGGCCAGTGTACCTGACGAGAACGAAGAATGCATCTCAGGAATCAAAATCAAGATACCGGGTGGAAGAAACTGCAGCAATGCAGTCAGTCAGATGGCGCGCGGGCTCACGAGGTAAAGGTCCACGTAGTCGGTCTGCAGGTCCTGGAGCGTGCCGTCCAGCGCCACCGGCACGTCCTCCGGCGCGTGGTTAGTGCACCTCGAAACATTCAGATCAAGATTTTCGCTCGTTAACTTCTCAGTTTTTCGCAATTGGAGTGTCTGAATGGGCAATGTTCAGATGATGGGAGGATGGGAAGACAAACACTGCAAAGGCTCACCATAGCTTGGAGGTGATGAAGAGATCTTGCCGGCTGGTTATGCCCTCGTCGAACACCTTCTTGAGGGCGAATCCGATCTGCAGTGGCGTAGAGGTTGTCTAGTGTCCTGCCTTTTGATGCAAATTAACATCGTTAATTTGAGAGAGGGACGATCTGGTTACCTCTTTCTCGTTGCCGTAGACCTGAGCACAGTCGATGTGCCGGTAACCAGCCTGCATTATTACGCAGAGTAAGATTCAGACAGCGCGAAGGAGCATCGGTTTGCAGCGACGACGTACGCACGCACCTTGACGGCGGCGTAGACGGCGTCGCCGACAACGCCGGGCTCGGACTGCCAGGTGCCGAGCCCGACCGACGGGATCTTGGCGCCGGTGCTGAGGACGAAGTGGCTGGCCATGCCTTCAGCGCTCGTACGTAGCTAGCGTGCGCAGAGTGTGTTCGCACTTGCAAGTGGGAACCGAGTGGAAGATGCGCGCGGAGACGAGAGACGGCGACCGACTGCTCGATCGCACTCGCACGGGCCAACTTGTAGAGGCACTGCGGGCCGGCAATGAAGTTTGCGTCGCTGTTACCGGTGAGGCAGTGATGTCGATGCGGCAGCGACCGTGCAATTGCACGTGCCAGTGGGGCTGGAGGACACAGACACGCCAAACGTGGTGCTGTCGTGTCTTTACCTTCTGACGGCCAAGAGCACAAGACTACGCCGACACCCTAACGATTTGCTCGTGGCGGAAAGCAATGCCCCTAAGAGCATCTACCGCCGGAGTTGGCAAACACGGCCATATACATCTATACGTGTCCGCAAACAGTGTTAGATGACCCCTCGTTTACCATGTCGCTCAATCACACATCTCAAATGTGTACCCTCAAATTCATGCAAATCATGCACATCGATCGTACGATCCTCAAATTCATGCAAGTCATGCACATCGATTATACGACACAAATTCATCATAATTCAACGTTCTGAAACAAAAACAACAAAGCAAAACAAATCATATCTCAACAATCTGGACACGCCAACATAAAACAAAGTTCGAGCGTAACAGATCACTCACTGGCCGGATCGGTCACCAGACGCCAGCTATGCCGCCTGCTCCGTGACCATTCTTGCCTCTTGCTCCGCCTGCATCCTTGCCTCCTCTTCCGCTGCTGCCATAGCCACCCTCGCTGCCTCGTACTCCTTATGTCGTTGAGCTTCTTCTTCATCCTCACAAGCCAATTCTTTGCATGCTCGTCCAAGAGGCCTTCGTCCATCAACATTATTGGCATCCTCCGCGTCTCGTGTGATTTGCAATCTCTTCTTCTCAAGCTCAAGCTCTCCAAATGTATTGGCCTTCTCGATCTCCCATTTGATCGTCGCTTCTTTCTTCTCCCTCTCAATTTGTAGCTTCTTGTTTGCCCTCTCCCGGTCCTGATCCATCATCTCCTTGTACGCATCAAACATGAACTTGTACCTCTCCTCTTTCTTGTTCTCCCTAACAGGAAAAATGCCCATCCATGTGGAGGACACTTTTTGAAGGAAATACGCCCTAGAGGCAATAATAAAGTTATTATTTATTTCCTTATTTCATGATAAATGTTTATTATTCATACTAGAATTGTATTAACCGGAAACATAATGCATGTGTGAATACATAGACAAACAGAGTGTCACTAGTATGCCTCTACTTGACTAGCTCGTTGATCAAAGATGGTTAAGTTTCCTAACCATAGACATGAGTTGTCATTTGATTAACGAGATCATATCATTAGGAGAATGATGTGATTGACTTGACCCATTCCGTTAGCTTAGCACTTGATCGTTTAGTTTGTTGCTATTGCTTTCTTCATGACTTATACATGTTCCTATGACTATGAGATTATGCAACTCCCGTTTACCGGAGGAACACTTTGTGTGCCACCAAACATCACAACGTAACTGGGTGATTATAAAGGTGCTCTACAGGTGTCTCCAAAGGTACTTGTTGGGTTGGCGTATTTCGAGATTAGGATTTGTCACTCCGATTGTCGGAGAGGTATCTCTGGGCCCACTCGGTAATGCACATCACTATAAGCCTTGCAAGCATTGCAACTAATGAGTTAGTTGCGGGATGATGTATTACGGAACGAGTAAAGAGACTTGCCGGTAACGAGATTGAACTAGGTATTGAGATGCCGACGATCGAATCTCGGGCAAGTAACATACCGATGACAAAGGGAACAACGTATGTTGTTATGCGGTCTGACCGATAAAGATCTTCGTAGAATATGTAGGAGCCAATATGGGCATCCAGGTCCCGCTATTGGTTATTGACAAGAGAGGTGTCTCGGTCATGTCTACATAGTTCTCGAACCCGTAGGGTCCGCACGCTTAACGTTCGTTGACGATATAGTACTATGAGTTATGTATGTTGGTGACCGAATGTTGTTCGGAGTTTTGGATGAGATCACAGATATGACGAGGAACTCCGGAATGGTCCGGAAGTAAAGATTGATATGTGGATAATAGTGTTTGATCTCCGGAAGGGTTCCGGAATTCACCGGAAGGGGTTCCGGATGTTTCCCGAAATGTTTGGGCACGAGAACACTTTATTTGGGCCAAAGGGGAAAGCCCACGAGGCTTTTGAAAAGTGCAAAAGGAAGTTTTGCGGAGACTAGAGGCTAGACGCCAGGAACCCTGGCGTCTAGGGGGTAGACTCCGGGAACCCTGGCGTCTAGCCCTGGAGTCCGAGAAAGACTCTTGCCTTTCGGGTGAAACCGACTTTGAGGAGGCTTTTACTCCAAGTTTCGACCCCGGGGCTCAACATATAAATAGAGCGATAGGGCTAGCACCAAAGACACATCAAGAAACACCAAGCCGTGTGCCGGCTACCCCATCTCCTCTAGTTTATCCTCCGTCATAGTTTGAGATTGTTCTTCACCAACACCGTCACCACGCCGTCGTGATGCCGGAACTCATCTACTACTTCGCCCCTCTTGCTGGATCGAGAAGGCGAGGACGTCACTAAGCCGAACGTGTGCAGAACTCGGAGGTGCCGTGTTTTCGGTACTTGGATCGATCGGATCGTGAAGACGTACGACTACATCAACCGCGTTGATATAACGCTTCTGCGATCGGTCTACGAGGGTACGTAGACAACACTCTCCCCTCTCGTTGCTATGCATCACCATGATCTTGCGTGTGCGTAGGAATTTTTTTGAAATTACTACGTTCCCCAACAGTGGCATCCGAGCCTAGGTTTTATGCGTTGATGTTGTGCACGAGTAGAACACAAGTGAGTTGTGGGCGATATAAGCCATACTGCTTACCAGCATGTCACACTTTGGTTCGGCGATATTGTTGGATGAAGCGGCCCGGACCGACATTACGCGTACGCTTACGCGAGACTGGTTCTATCGACGTGCTTTGCACATAGGTGGCTGACGGGTGTCAGTTTCTCCAACTTTAGTTGAACCGAGTGTGGCTACGCCCGGTCCTTGCGAAGGTTAAAACAGCACCAACTTGACAAACTATCGTTGTGGTTTTGATGCGTAGGTAAGAACGGTTCTTGCTCAGCCCGTAGCAGCCACGTAAAACTTGCAACAACAAAGTAGAGGACGTCTAACTTGTTTTTGCAGGGCATGTTGTGATGTGATATGGTCAAGACATGATGCTAAATTTTATTGTATGAGATGATCATGTTTTGTAACTGAGTTATCGGCAACTGGCAGGAGCCATATGGTTGTCGCTTTATTGTATGCAATGCAATTGTGCTGTAATGCTTTACTTTATCACTAAGCGGTAGCGATAGTCGTGGAAGCATAAGATTGGCGAGACGACAACGATGCTACGATGGTGATCAAGGTGTCGCGCCGGTGACGATGGTGATCATGACGGTGCTTCGGAGATGGAGATCACAAGCACAAGATGATGATGGCCATATCATATCACTTATATTTATTGCATGTGATGTTTATCTTTTATGCATCTTATCTTGCTTTGTTTGACGGTAGCATTATAAGATGATCTCTCACTAAATATCAAGATAAAAGTGTTCTCCCTGAGTATGCACCATCGCCAAAGTTCGTCGTGCCCAGACACCACGTGATGATCGGGTGTGATAAGCTCTACGTCCATCTACTACGGGTGGAAGCCAATTTTGCACACGCAGAATACTCAAGTTAAACTTGACGTGCCTAGCATATGCACATATGGCCTCGGAACACTGAGACCGAAAGGTCGAGCGTGAATCATATAGTAGATATGATCAACATAATGATGTTCACCATTGAAAGCTATTCCATTTCACGTGATGATCGGTTATGGTTTAGTTGATTTGGATCACGTGATCACTTAGATGATTAGAGGGATGTCTATCTAAGTGGGAGTTCTTAAGTAATATGATTAATTGAACTTTAATTTATCATGAACTTAGTCCTGGTAGTATTAGCATATCTATGTTGTAGATCAATAGCTAGCGTTTAGCTCCCCTATTTTATTTTTGATATGTTCCTAGAGAAAACTAAGTTGAAAGATGTTAGTAGCAATGATGCGGATTGGATCCGTGATGTGAGGTTTATCCTCATTGTTGCACAGAAGAATTATGTCCTTAATGCACCGCTAGGTGACAGACCTATTGCAGGAGTAGATGCAGACGTCATGAACGTTTGGCTAGCTCAATATGATGACTACTTGATAGTTTAGTGCACCATGCTTAACAGCTTAGAATCGGGACTTCAAAGACGTTTTGAACATCATGGATCATATGGATGTTCCAGGAGTTGAAGTTAATATTTCAAGCAAATACCCGAGTTGAGAGATATGAAGTCTCCAACAAGTTCTATAGCTAAAAGATGGAGGAGAATAGCTCAAGCAGTGAGCATGTGTTCAGATTGTCTGGGTACTACAATCGCTTGAATCAAGTGGGAGTTAATCTTCCAGATAAAATAGTGATTGACAGAATTCTCTAGTCGCCATCACCAAGTTGATAGAACTTCGTGATGAACTATAGTATGCAAGGGATGATGAAAACGATTCCCGAGCTTTTCATGATGATGAAATCGATGAAGGTAGAAATCAAGAAAGAACATCAAGTGTTGATGATTAACAAGACCACTAGTTTCAAGAAAAGGGCAAAGGGAAAGAAAGGGAACTTCAAGAAGAACGACAAGCAAGTTGATGCTCAAGTGAAGAAGCCCAAGTCTGGTCCTAAGCCTGAGACTAAGTGCTTCTACTGCAAAGGGACTGGTCACTGTAAGCGGAACTGCCCCAAGTATTTGGTGGATAAGAAGGATGGCAAAGTGAAAAAAAAGTATATTTGATATACAGATTATTGATGTGTATTTTACTAGTGTTCATAGCAACCCCTCGGTATTTGATACTAGTTCAATTGCTAAGAGTAGTAACTCGAAATGAGTTGCAGAATGAACAGAGAC